GCAGTTGATGGAGACCTCAATCCCAGAAATCTGGACTCCAGCCTTGCAGCAGAGTTCTCTCAACCCGGTCTGTACTTGTTCTCATTACCTGTAATGTCTGCTGTACAGTATCAAGTAATTGGTAATGTTCTGTGTTCTCCAGTAAAGAGTACAGAATATTTCCCTGGCTTTCTAAGTCTGCCCTTTCCTACAGAGTTTAGGCAAATGTTCTGTGCAGTGTGTTGGATCGCTGTACATTCCAAATCAATATGCAGTATAAAACGTATGACAGGTACAGCTTCCTATGGAACAGAGGAATACTGTTTTATTTTCTAGCCCAAGTGGTTAAATTTTAGCATAGAATTTTATGTAATGGAATAGTGGTTGTCCACACTTAGTGTCATGAGATGAACAGCAAACAGATGGGTCCTTGTTGTCTGAACCAGCGTATCATGAGGACTATACTGCATGTGGATGGGTTGTGTCACACTTGTGGGCTTCAGCTTCACACATAGTTTCCTTGCAAAGCAAAATATCCAAAATAGTTTTGAGCATTCGAGGTGAACACAAATTTTCCCCAGTATCTTCTCTGTAACTGAGATTAATCTGCCCACTTAATGGCAGATTAAAACTACTGAATGTGATAGAATGCTGAGGCTCCCCAGTGAACTTTAACTGTTGCTGATGCATGTAATGAAAGCAATTCTGCCCACTCGTGACACTTAAAGCACAGTAAAGAAGTGCTGAGATGGAGATCCTGTGTCTTGAGAAGTTGTCTCACAGCAGTTCTGTATTTCTGCCTCTCCTTTGGTTTTTCTGAGACATTACTGGACTTTCATCCCATATTTCTGATTGTTTTAAACTGTGAGATCTCCCGCAGCCAACTCCTTCCACTCTTGTCAACAGTTTTCTGTGTAGGCATCCGTACTCTGGGACTTACTTTGTGCCAGTTTGAACATGGGTTTTGCTTCTTCACAGGTCCTGGGACCCAATTCAACTGCAAACAGCATCATGGCTGCCTATCAGCAGAAGAGGATGGTTGTTCCTGCTGTACAAGGTTAGTTCAGGCTCCTGGTTAGGTGTGGCTGTGAAGCACCATTGTGGCCAGCAGTATTGCAGTGTTCTTCATCTGTAGGAGTTTATTGCTTTATGTTATGGTGTCATCTTCTGGCGAGTGATCAGCCTTCTTAATAAGGTTTTGTTTGCTCTAATGCAGTGTGTTAAAACTACTTCCTGAGTAATGCTGCTCCTGATTTTCTGTGTGTTTAGCCTCTGTATGTTGTGGGGGAACTGGAAGTCTCTTTTCGTAGGTGTGTGTCAGATCATTCTGCTTGTACTTTATGAATTTATCTTTTTGTCTAATGTTGGCTTCTAGGCCAGGTTCTGGAGCAGGTGAGTCTATAGGATTTCATGGTACTTTGCCACCTTGAAGCCCTTGTAGCTGATAACAATTTTAAAGCTGAGAGAGCTAGCTTTTGTTTTCCCTCTTTCCACCTAGTACTGGAACTGCCAGGAAAAAGTCTAACAAACCTGGATGTGACCCATCCACTGCTGCTTGGCTGGGCTGGCTCCTTTTAGGCACAGCCCACAGCTCTAGCAGGCTGTTGTGTGCAACAGCACAGCAGAGATGTCCCAGCTGCTGATGTATGAACCGAGTCCTGCTTTCTGTCACAAGCCATTGCTCTTCATTCCAAACGATATCACTTAGCAGAGATGGGACTTGATTTGTCCAAGGGATCGATTTCTCCATGCAGTTCTGCTGGGCTGTCTTCAGTGTAGGCTGGTGGTATTTGCTGAAAGGTGATGCTGAGACTTCTTGGTGTTCTTTGATGGAAAAGGAAGCAAGCTGACTAGATGACAGGTCCTGAGGAAATCATACTGCTCTGTTCTGACATTTGTCATCTTTGTCTTTCAGATTCAGAATTACTCACTGCACCAAAACTCAATAAAAATCTACAGTGGAAGCTACATCTTTTCCAGTAATGAAAAGTCAAGGGATCCCAATGGACTGTGAACTGTTAAATTTCATAGAATACTTTAATTACACCTTTATTAAAACATTATTGTCCTTGCATTCCTATTGCTCTTATGGCTGTGCAAGTGAATGTCCTTCCAACTGATGTAACTTTGATCCATAGTTTGTTTGTGAGATTGGGCAGTAACAGGCTGTGTGGCTCTCAGCATTGCTGGCTAAATCCAACTTCTGCCACTACTGTTCTCTCCCTTCTGGATGAAGCAAATCCCCCACTGCTCCATGGGTTCTGTTCTCTGCTGTCACTTCCTCTGTGGATGATGAAGGCAGGCAATGTTTTAAGCTGTTCATCCTGATTTAGCTACCTCACCAGTAAGTCTTTGCTAACAGCAAACTGCTGAGGCTAAACAAATAAGTTTTCTCTGCTGAAGTTGGTTGCTAGTAATACGAGATTTTCACAGGAATCATTTTGTTGCATCAGAGTCAACGCTGTGGCAGTAGCAGCCCTAGTGATCTTGCAGCAGGGAGGTCTGGGTACACGAGGATGTGCTTAACAGTGGGGTTGGGTGTCAGCACTACACACAGCCGGATGGCACTGCCCTAAATATTCTGCTTGCTGGCACTGGCAGGTCAGCAGCTGTACCATGCTTATTCTGCATGTTACTACAGAACCATTTCAGATGAAAACTGGTGTAAATCTACACCTAAGAATTAGATTTTTTCCGGAATAGTTCTGCAGTCTGACAGGAGAAGTAACAGCAGCAGTCCTGGGAGCAGAGGAAGGGGACAAGCTCAGCAGGCAAGATACTGCTTCAGGAAGAAGCCTCCCTGCCCCTCCTTTCCCTTGGTTGATTTTGGCCTAGCAGATGTTCAATTTGATGAGAGCCTTTTGGATAGAGTGCTGAAACAGTGCCAGCAGCAGCCAGGTACTCCCTGTCACTGACCTGCGAGCTATATTCTTGCTACTTGACATTAGCACGCCTCGAGCTGCAGGTTGTTATTTTCTTGGTGTGAGAACCCCATTGTGCTGAGGTGGCCCTAAGGGCTTGAATTGCACATGTCGTGCTGGCCTGGGAGCAGTGGTGGAGCAGTCCTTTGTCAGTGTTGCATAAAGCCCTAGAGTTAATCTTACTTCTCATTGTCTCGAGGTCCATTTTCAAGCTATTTTCTCGAGCCTATTTTCAAGTATTGTGATGAGGCTCTCTGAGCCTCTTTAAATAGCAAATGACATGAAAGGCTGCAGTGGATAGCAGGTTTTTTGACGGATTTGGGTTTTCAAATATGGTAGACAAATCTGGTCCCAAATGACACGTGGAAACAATCTCAGTGCAGCCTTTCAGTACTTTGCAAGTACTTTCAGAGGGGTTCTTGCAAACAGGAGGAACACCAACCTGTGGTCTGATAGTGGTGGGACAAGGGAGAATGGTTTTAAACTGAAAGGGAAAAGAACATTGGGAAGGGGTATTAGAAGGAAATATTCAGAGGGTGGTGAGGCACTTGCACAACCACCCAGAGAAGCTGTGGATCCCCATCCCTGATAGTGCTCAAGGCCAGGCTGGATGGGCCCTGGGCAGCCTGAGCTGCTGAGGGCTGCAACCTGTGCTGCAACCCTACTTACAGCACATGGTTGGAACTGAATTTTTCATATTTGTAAAAAGAAGTGATGAGGATTATGCATTGCACTCCAGTTCTGGCCCTGCAGCTCAATTGCAGCGCTGCTGCCACTGCTAATTCCTCACCCTCTTACACCCAGTGCTAGGAAATGCTTAGGTCTTGCTCAGCCTGCTGTACTGTCCAGGATATTTCCTTAGTAAGGAACTCAAGAAAAGGTAAAACTGGCTTGATGAGGATTTGATTTACACTTCAGGTCCTTCAAAGTGTGTATTGCTTTTTATTTATTTATTTATTATTTTATTTTTGTGTGTGTCTGTCGTGCTGGTGGTCAAAGCTGAAGGCCCTCTGGTTTTAGAGATGTTCTCCCATCAAGATGGGAGAAAATCGATTCAAATCTGACATCCTGGAGGAAGAGTGCTTGGTAGACCATTGATACAGTAACTCATCCCTGAGCTCCTTTCTTGTTTACCTCACCTGTTTTTAGTGAGCTCAGACAGAGGGGAAACAGCTGGAGCCAGTGCCTTTACCATGACTGAACTTCAGCTTCTGCTTAAGCAGCAGCCAGGAGTTTCCCTCCCCTGCATTTCTCCATTGATGTTTCTTTTGCCTTCTTTGCAATGCATCTCACTTTGAAATACGCTATGGCTTAGCTTTACAGATACACTGAATTTTCTCTGCAGAGGCTCTCCCAAACAGATGCAGTTGAAATAATTACAGGAAAAATACAGATAATTTAGGGAATGTCCAAATTTCTGACTAAATATGCTTCTGTGGAGGTCTTATCATTAGTGAGAATTCTGTCCCAGGTCTCCTTCTTTACATACAAAAAAGGCACGCTGTCACAGACACAACACAGCTGCAACACACATCCTTTATTATATCTATAGCAAAGAGTAAAAGGCATATGCTCCAGCAGCAAAGGGCTCACCCGTGGGTGTATGCAGTAACAGCACTGCACACAGACACAAAAGCAAGGAACACTCTCTCCCTGAGAAATGCATTATCAACATTTGCAAAACAGCATTTTCCTTGTATAAAGAAGAGCTCTGTATGCTTTTATTGAAAGCCATTTCACCCAGAGGGTATCTTAACAGATCAAAGCTGGGCTTAGAATGAATTTCAACCCTGCTGATTGATTCTGGGCCCAGTAACAGATTTCCGTTGACAACAATCAAAACATAAAGACTCACCAAAACCCACAGCAGCACTGGACCGTGCTTCCATTTCTTTACCATGCTCAAAATAAGCAGCCAAGCAATTGCAAATCTCTAAATCATTGCTTCTTTCCCTCCTCTGCTGAAACCTAGACCTGGGTGCAGAACCTCTGCAGTTCTGAATTAAAATGAATCCATTCATCCAAACAAAGCACTTCTTCCAGGCTTCCATTCACACACAGAACAGTGGGGCAGTGTCACAAGAAAGCTGCAAACACCTCTGATTTCAGAAGTCATTTTATTTTATTCTTTTTATCTACGCTCTGGCAGTGTTAATATGCTGCTGTTAATACGTTATGTTTTCCCATACCTCATTTCCCACTCCAGTTAACAAAAATCATACGTGTCCCATCACACCCTGAGGTCTTTGTGTTAAACTGATATCTGAGCACGTGGGTTGCTAGATGATTTTTTGGTTGTCATTTTGTCCAATGTTTCTTGAGATGTTCCTTTAGCTGCGGGATAGTGGATAGCTGCTGTTTGCACAGATGGCATCTGAGAGGCAATTTGAGAAGTTCAGAGGCCTGGTCATTCACTGTTACTTTTCCCTTGCTTCGTACCATCTCTATCACATCTGAAATGAAATCAGACAGGCACTACTGGGATCATGAAACACTGTCAGATGCGTGGCACTACCAAATCCATACACTGCTCAAGACACATCACATGTCATTACTGCATTTTTATTTAAACCAAACACACAATTTGGCTGACTTCCACTTAGTGCTGTTCCTCAATATCTGAAATCACATAAAACCTTTCATTTATTTTACTAGAATTTATGGCTTACGCCTTTTCTAGAGAGGAAAGCTCAAAAGTCAGAACCCGCAAACACAGTTATGTTATGAGACACCTTTTCTAATAATTACCTTCGGAGTTTAGGAAGTATTCTGTGGTAAAGGAGTTCCAGTGCTTTTTGGTTTTCAGAGCAGGAGAATCAAAATCTTGGCTGATTACGTGCAAATGCAGCTGACTAAAAACAGATCACGTAGATAAGACAGAAAAAAAATGTTAATAAAGGCAGTTCTCTTGCAGTAGGTATCAGTTGCAAACGTGACTGGAAAGAGACAGACTGCCAGTCTTACGGATCAGCCTTAAGGGTCAGTCCTGTGACCCACAATCCTGACACAGAAAAAACATGGCCTATGTTTTCAAGGTACTACTGCATGCTAAGTGTTTCACTTAAATAGCTAACACCACTACCCTGCACGTTCCATTTGCCCCTAACTACAGTCAGCTAGTTTCCAGAAAAGCAAAGACAAAACAAAAGGATTAAGCTTTGTAGAGCCATCTGAACAGGACACTTAATCAGCAACTCAAAGCGTACTCCAGGAATTCGGGGAGGGCAAAAGCACTGTGCTCCAGGTGAGGCTCGAACTCACAACCTCGGCATTGCTCGGCTTCAGTACTGCTGTATAAGTACCGCGCGCTAACCGATTGCGCCACTGGAGCCGGCACGCAGACGGACAGCACGGCTCAGCAGCACCCATGGGACCCACAGCCAAACCTGGGCGCCTGCAGGGACGGTGCTGAGGCTGCAGCACCACTCAGCTCCAGCTCTGCACACCCAGGAAAGCAGGCTGTCCTCCCAATGGCTCCCCCTAGGGATTTACCTCATACTGGGAATGGCGTGGTAACCCAGCCGGAACTCCAGGCTTTCTTTGGCAGGGCACTGTTGAATCATTTTTTGCCCAACTGCATGCATATGTTCCAGGAGTCTAAGATGCTCTTTGGTGAGTGATTTGAGGCTTGAAATGGAGTCCCACGGTAAAATAAGCCAGTGGTAACGTGCTTTGGGATATTTATCCTTGATGACTACAGTCTTCTCGTCCTTGTAAACCTAGTAAAACAAGAAACTTGATTATTTACTGAAGTTAAATGCCTTGCCCCAGTACGCACTGTATTTACTGAGCTCTGAGGTGCCATCCATCTGCACATCCCACCATGGCTGCAAAGGTCCTCGAGCACAAGTATATGCTGCTAGTGGAATTGTGACTGCCAGGTAAAAAAGCCAGGAAAAGTCACTATGTAGGAGAAATACTGAGCAGCAGGGTGTTTCCCTTCACATCTTTGGCTGGAACCACGCTAGTCCAGTGCGTGCTCCTCTGCCACACCAAGCATCCAGCAGCTAAAGGAGGTCTTCTAAAGTTTTTCTTTAAGGCAAAAGTCTTCTATTCCTGTTCATCAAGAAATACTTTAACCATCACTACAAGCCAACGTGAACTCTCTAGAAAATAACCTAGACTCATGACCAGTGTGGTCGAGGATCCTTCCCTCCATCAAGCCACGTCTAAGCTTTGAGGGCACTGCAATGACAGTGATGGCACTGCACTCAGTGCAGAGCACACACGAGTGGACTCCCTATGCTCTGTGGTGAAACACAAGGCTCAGAGGTGCAGCAGAACACTCAGCACTGCACACCTCCTCCAGCATTTCAAAGCCGAAACCTCAGGATCTAAGCTAATTCACTTGATGCTACTCAAGATGCTACTTTTAAAGATCATTCACATAAAGAAGAGGTTTCTGTCTCCATAGTCTTTCTTCTCCTTGACCTTTTTTTCTTTTCTTTTCTTTTTTTATCAACTAGATGGTGTTGAGAATCAAGAGAAACAGTACCAAAGCATACACAGAGCAGGGCAGCACGGCCTGCCCGTGGCAATAAAAACCTGTCAGCTTCTGAAGTGCCCTCTGCTCTGTTAGCAGCGAGTCTGCTGGGAAGAGATGAACAACGTCTTTGTCATCTTTGCTAATTCTTTTCGTACGTTTATATGCAGAGCTGATCAGTCTTGCTTTACAGGAAGCAAGATTAAAATTTTATCAGTACACAAATCATTACGCTGACTTTCAGTCTAGTCCATATCATATTTTCATGCACTTTGGTCTCTGCATACGCAAACAGAATCGAGACAATTGTGAGGAGGTGCTTCCAGAAAAAAAAAAAGTGTTTTTGTCATTTCTTTAAGGTATGTTTAAGAAGCAAAGGTGGGAGGTCTGTTGTTTATATATTTCATTCTGAACCACAACTAACAAAGCTAACAATAAGCCTTCAAATAACAGCTTTAAGAACAGCATATGTTTTGGGTCAAGAAAACACTGTCTTCTTAAGTGTTATGGGAACTTTTACTTAAAGAGTGAAGATGGAGTTTCAGGTTTAAAACGTAAGCAAGTATTTTCATAGTTCTATCATTCCTGATAGACTCATTTGAAACTGCTGACAGACACCTGAATTATTAAAAAAAAAAAAAAAAAAAAAAAAAAAAAGCAGAAGGAAAAAAAAAAAAAAAAGGAAAATAAGAAATTGGGACATTCTGATGGGTGATGAATGAAATTATTTTCAGCCTAAGGCTGATAATGTTCTGGGGGGCCTACTGTGCCTGTGGAGTCCTCCCCTTTGGAAACCATCTCAGCTCAAACACACAATGACTTGAGTGGTCAGACTGGCCCCAAAACTCAAAGACAAGCATGATACAGCCAAGGGAAGTAAAGGAAAAGATAAGCACCTTGAGCATCTATAGAAGGTTAAAAGAAGGCACCTAGGAAACTCCTGCAGTCATGATGAAATGGGGTAGAGAAGGAGCCCGAGGTCACATCCTATCAGCTGCTGCCCAGGTTGCACAGTTAAAGTTTACTGGAAATGATGAAGCTGCATCACATTTGGACACACAGCAGTGCTGACTGCCAGAAAATAGGAATCTCAGCTTTAAACCACAGCCTTGTTTTAATTGGTTTCCACACTAAAGTGGACCTGTTGTGCACCTGCTCTCCCTGCAAGCTTTTAAAAACACTGGACAAATTTGACAGGGTAGGGAGCTCCAAGATAAGGAAGTTCTGACACTGCACAAAATCAGCATAGTAGAGACTCCCAAATTCTATCAGATGCAGCTCTTGTGCATCTTGAGTAATCTCTCAGTTAATCACATTATTAATGTAAACTGCTGAAGGAAAGAAGAACGCTCACTGTCTTAGACAAGAAGTACTGTGAAGTACATGTGTATGTATAGTTCTCACCTGCACTTTTGGATCTTGCATGGCACTCTTTAGACCTTGACTCCAGTGTCCTAAATGTTCCTAAAACATAGAAAGAAGAAAGAAACACAATTTTGTAAGAGAATTAAGAATCTAACTATGTATTTTAAAACATACAAACTTTGATTAGAACTACAGTGATACCACGTGAATGACAAAAACCAACACAACCCTCCATTCAACTGACCCACAGAGCTACTCTTCTAAATTTTAACCTGGAAATTTTAACATTTTAAGCTGTAAATTTAACTAGAGAGAGCTCTAGATCTGCTTGGATTTATTAACTCGCATGCACACGTTACAGCACAGACCTTGATTACCAATGATGACAGACCATCTTACTACAAGATCTGCTGCTTCATGCATCACAAGGGCCAGAGGAGGTACAAGGATCACCATTTACTGTCTCATCACATGTTGCTCTGCACAGAACAAAGAAGCACTGTTGTGGTGCCTGGCCCTACTCTGGGAGTATTTCTCTCTCAATACTGTGCAAGATAGAGCGGCTTGTAAAGAAAACAACAAAGTACCAGAGAATCAAGCCAGAATTAGCAGATTACTTCTTAATTTTGTTATCCAGCCCCTAGAGTGCACATTTTAGAGATACATATTATTTTATCTATTCACAGCACTTCACAGGCATTGCCAATGATGATCTTCACCACATTCTTACAAAGCAAGACATTCAAATGTTATTCCAGTACTGACAGGGAAATGCTGAACAGTCAACTTTCTCTGATCACAGCACCCCAAATCTGATCCTAATAAAATCAGCATGAGCTCAGCAATGGTGTAAGTGGTCAGCCCACCAGAATCTGAGATGAGATTTGGTCCTGCACTCCTACTAAAAAGTCTAAAAAGTCTTACACATTTTGCCCGTGTCAGCAGGGCTAAAAACTTCCTTTCAAAAGACTGGCTGGCAATGTGAACATAAATATGGTTCTATCATAATAAATGACCCAAACAGCAGGAAAAAAAAAAAAAAAAAGGAAAAGAAAAAAGGTCAAGATGTTCCATTTTATGTGCCTAAGCTTTTTAGATAACCACCGTTCTAATTCTGAGAGAGCAGATCTCATCTCAAGAGCCTGCACACCGTGCAAGTCCAGCTAAGCAGTGCCCAGCGGAGCTCTGCTCTTCTATAAGAAACTGCAACAGGAGCCAGAGATTAAGACTTCATTTGCTGAAACCAGCTTGCTGCTTTAGCACTCTCCAGCTCAGGTTAACATGGGATCCAGGTGGTGCTCTCAGGAGCTATGTGACAGCAGGAGCAGACCTCTCTGACTGTGTATGTGACAACTTGTGCTCTGCACACTCCTAGGACCCAGGTTCACCTAAGAAGTTCCCCATAGGTAGCACCTACAGAAGAAAAGATGAAACCCCTCTAATGGAGGAGACAACTCCAGGGGAAACAGCTGAAGAACTGGTAGCAATACACTTGCCTTTCTGCTCGTTGTCCCTTCGTGTGGAGATACACTGCTCTTGCTTGGCCTGAGGCCTGCAGAACTGCTTTGTGTATCCACCACCTCCATCTTCTTTGCCTTTCTGGGCACATTTTCTATTTCATCATTCTCATAGGAGTCTTCACATGGCCTCTTTTCAGTCTGTATTTTCTCTTCTGCTTCTGTAACAGTTTCCTCTGATTCTTCACCAAACTGCACCGTGAAGGGGTAAAGTTTATTCACAAAATGCAGAACTTGGCCTGGCCTCATTTTCACCTCTTCATCCTTGCCAATGTCCACTAGGTCAACACTAGTTGGGTTGACTCCTATCTTTGGTAGAGAGAAAAATAATTTTAAAAGTTGATGTTGTAATTGAAATCACCAGCAGCTACTGGTCAGCTGCCCCACAGTATCACCATGCTGTAAAGCTCATGTGTTTGGTTTTCATTCTGCCCCTGTCCCATTCTGGGAAGTTCAAGATTGCCAGCATCTGGCAATAACCAGTCTTGTGACTGCAGCCATTGAGACACAAACCACAGCTTTACCAACAGTTATTTCTGGAAAAATAACAGCAGTTTTAACAAATGATTTAAATCCAGCAATCCCCAGAAAGCTTCCTGAGTTCAAATTATTTTCTATTTATTCTCTTTTCTTTTTTACCACAGTTGCTTTCTATACAGCACCTGTTGAATGCTGTCCCACCAACACATCTACCTTCAAATACATAAGCCTGCACCTGTGGCTCATTTCAAGAGATGGGTGTCTGGGATCACAGCTGCTGGTTCCTGTTTAACCACAGCACACAGCTAACACTTGCAGTGCACTCCCTCCTGTGTAATGAAAAGAGAAACTAGGAAATAAGTTTACTAGACCTCCCAGATCCCTGCTGCATGGGGATCAGCTCCTAGCCCCTGTCCTTGCTTCCCAGGCCAGATGTGATAACCACTGCCTAGACCTTGTGTGACTGTTCAAACACAGCCAGTGAGAACATCTGCCTGTTCCTTGGAGTGACAATAAACCTCTCTGCCCTCACCTTGTGCAAAGTACACTTTTGTGCTTTTAATTTTGCATGCCACACTTGCAAAAAAAAACAAAAAACAAAAAACAAACAAACAAAAAAAACAATTTTGTGCTGACTTTTTAATAGCAGAAACTCAGTTCAGCAAGGTCAAAACTGGCTTTTCCCTCTCGTTTCATCATTTTATGGACCTATGCAACTCTAAAATGATTTTCCATCCAAAACAGTGTTTTAAAGACTTAGAAGCTACTGACATTTAGCTGGTAATGGAAAAGCAACCTGATAAGACAAGGTGGCATGGGCAATGTACATGGGGCAACTGGACAGATTTGTCTGACGATGCAGACCACCCTTAGAAAGGAGACCTTGTCTTCAGCTAAATGCTTCTGGTTCGTGTTTATATATAAAATAAGTTTTAGAAGCCAGTTCTTGCTTCCAACTGATCAACTCTGTCATGTTTCTTTAACCCTGTCTGTCAGATACCTGCTTGTTTCACAAAACAGCACCATGTCTCTCATCTTCACTCTGATGGAGCACCTGCCTGATCCCAGCCACAACCTCCTCATCCTACAGTGCCACAGTTTCACCCAAACAAAGCACATTTCACATTTCCCTGCCCAACGTGCTGTTTAGCCACTGATTGTTGGAACCCCATATTGGGAAGCAACTCAAGACCTGGCAGAGCAAGCATGCTAACACCCACTGCCAAAAACCACTCATGGCTCTGAAACTGCAGTGAGATTGCATTCAAATCGTGGTGGAAACTGACTTTGGTGAAACAGTGAGATTTCTGCAGGATCACCACACAACAGAGGGGGCTCAGCATTCACTGAGGGCTGGCAGATATTTTGATGGAAGATCAGAAAACAACACAGAACAAGCTGTTGTGTTACCCACATGGATGCTGGTGCTGTGAGGACGTTCTACACCAGAGAGGAGAACATTTTCCCTTCACATTATCTCAGGCATACTGGTTGTTGTCAGTAAGAGCAGACCTACATCCATCCTGTTAATAACATGTGAATGCCTTCTGTGCTGCCACACATCCCACCCCTCCCTAGAAGGGAAAAGGCCTTTGGCTCAACCAGTCATCAAAGCAAAAACCTCTATGCCAGCCCAGTCCCTTCAATACAGAACCACTGTGACTTCAAATGAAGGGCTGTGTTAACTTTAGAAACAGAAGACTAATGATCAGAAGGAAGGTCAGTCAGTTTAAGGGGAAGAACTTGAAGGCCTCCAGATCTCAAAGTCTGGAAGAAGCGCGTGTTGAGGATTCACAGTGCTGCTCACTGATGCTGCAGGACAGCTGGAGGCTTTGCATTCCTGTGCCGAGACACACAAATGGAAAACAGATCCCTTCTGAGGACTGTTTGGTAGCTCCAGGACCTCCATGATCTGGGATGAGAACTGATATTCACACTATTTGTGGACTTCAAGTGCAACATGTCAGTAGGTACCAGAAATACCGACAAGCTGCTTAAAAACATACCTGCTTAACTGTGACATACCCCTTGTTACAGTCTGCTTTCAACAGAACTGAAAAGAGAGAAGGAAGAGTTATGAAACACCGTGAAGAGAAAGGATGGGTATCTGCCTGCCCAGCCCTTGTGGGAAACACTTGTGCATCTCCAGCTCCTGCTGCCCTTTGGGTTGTAAACGTACCAAAAGAAGAGCTCTGCCTCACCGACATGCATAGAATCAGAATGGCCAAGGTTGGAAGGCACCTCAAAGATCATGAAGCTTCAACCCTTCTGCCACATGCAGGGCCACCAATCTCCAGATATAGTACGAGACCAGGCTGCCCAGGGCCCCATCCAACCTGATGGACCTTGAACACCTCCATGGATGGACGGGGCATCCACAGCCTCCCTGGGCAGCTGTTCCAGCACCTCACCACTCTCTCTGTAAAGAACTGACATCCAATCTAAACCTTCCCTCCCTCAACTTCAAACCATTTCCCCTCGTCCTGCAGTTATCTGCCCTTTCCAAGAGTTGATTCCCCTCCTGTTTGTAGGCTCCCTGTAGGTACTGAAGGCTGCCATGAGGTCACCCCGCAGCCTTCTCTTCTCCAGGCTGAACAAGCCCAGCTCCCTCAGCCTGTCTTTGCAGCCCCCTGGTCACCTCTGTGGCTCCTTTGCTCCCTCTCCAACAGCTCTCTGTCTTTTTTGTCCTGGGGGGCTCCAGAGGTGGACACAGCACCGCAGATGGGGCCTCACAAGAGCAGAGCAGATGGGGACAATCACCTCCCCGAAACCCAAGAGTGGAGCCTCACTGACAGAAATCCCCCAGCTGCCCGCACAGCCGCGCGGCGCGGCCTTACCTTGCTGTCGCGAGCACCTCCTGTCGGTGATACGGGTTCGCGGCCCGCGGCCCAGCAGCACGGCGGCCATGTGCGGCAGCGGCACGCGCAGCCCGCGATCCTCCGTCCCAACCAACCAGCAAGCACGCATCGCCGCGTTGCGGAGACAAACAGACAGCGCGTTACCGGAACGGGACGGACAGACGGACGGGACTGGACGAGCCGCTCCCTCCCCCACGCCCCCCGCGCAGGGCGGGCTCCGTTCCCATGGTAACGCGGGATTTAAGGCGCGCGAGCTCCGGCTCGCCGCCAGACTCGCGCCGCACCAATGAGCTCGGCGGAGCTGCCTCACGTGACGCGGAGGCCCGCGCGCTCCCGTCCCGAGCCCCTGGATCCTGCGCAAGCGCAGTTGCGCTCCGTAGGTGCGGCTCTGGCTGAGGGGACGGCCGGATGGAGGGCGGGGCCGAGGCTGGCGGCGCTGATTGGCTCGCCTCGCTCCGCCTCCTTCTGCTATTGGCTGACTCCCCACTCGAACCGAGTTCCGGGGCGGGGCGGCGCCGTCTCAATAGTCTCAACACGGGACCGGCTCCGAACTTTCCAGAAAAGTCGGGAGCAGAGAGCGGCGCGGCAGAGTCCTGCAGAGAGCGGGAGCTGTGCGGAGCTGCCCACCGCCGCTACCATGGTGAAGGAGACTACATATTACGACGTGCTGGGGGTCAGCCCCAGCGCCTCGGCTGAGGAGCTGAAGAAGGCGTACCGCAAGCTGGCGCTGAAATATCACCCCGATAAGAACCCCAACGAGGGCGAGAAGGTGCGCGGCGGGCGGGAGGCGGGAACGCGTGAGGGGAGAACGCGTGAGGCGGGAAGGCGGGAACGCGGGTCGCTGAGGCGCTTTGTGTCCGCTGTGTCTCTCGTGCAGTTCAAACAGATCTCGCAGGCGTACGAGGTGCTGTCCGACCCGAAGAAGAGGGATCTGTACGACAAGGGCGGAGAGCAAGCCATCAAGGAGGGCGGCTCGGGCAGCGGTTTCGGGTCTCCCATGGATATCTTTGACATGTTCTTCGGAGGCGGCGGGAGGATGCAGAGGGAGAGGCGAGGTACGGGCGGCTGCGCTGCCGGCGGGCTGTGAGAGGCTCGGAGCGGTGCTGCTCACCACCGAGAGCCGTGCTTTGTGGCGGTGTGCGGCTTTGTGAGCTTCCCCGACCCCAGCAATCCGATCTGTGGGGATGGAGCGAAGCGCTGTCCCAGCCCCAGCGTGCGCTCTGCCGTGCTTTGTGTTGTGTGGGAAACGTGGGGGTAACGAGCCTTGAAATGAGTGCTAAGAAAGATGCCGCGATAGCGAAATGGAAGCTGGTCTTCCATTGTGAGCGGCTGTATCTGAATAAGATAGCCGAGTTGCTTTGGCTCTGGGAAGCCTTGCTGTGGTATGCAGTTCACCGCAGCTTTGTTCAGTCCGGTTGAAGTGCTGCTCAAAAGTTAAAGTCTAGAGATAGCGCAAGGAAAGGCTGATATTAAACTGCTTAAAAGCAGCACTGGCCGCGGCGCTTCTCTTCCTAAGAGAATTTAAAAGTCTGTATCAGAGTATTCTTAGTAAGCTGAAACTTGCTGTACTTCCCTAAGCTGGTTCCTTTGTTCCTGAAATTCTAACTAATTCCTGATTGTAGTTGCTCACAGTTGCTCAGTTTAGTTTCCAGAAGTCCCCTCACGAGAGGGGAAAACACCTAACTGGCTTTAGATTGTGCCTCCCACTTCCTTGTGGCAGAATTGCAGTTAAAACAGAAGTTTTGAATCTAGAACTTAAATGTAGCCTTTCACGTTTTTGTTGTGTACACTGTGTGTTCTCTCAGAGGTAAGTCAGATTTCTCCTAATAGAAGCGTTAATGCCTTTAGAACCTTTACCTAACTACAGCACAGCTGGGAAACTGACTAATACAAGTGATCAGAGAACTATGTTGAAACAAGATGTTAAAGCTTACAGAAGCTTGTTTCATCGTGGTATGGAAAACTCAGACTGACTTTGAGTCCAGGCTTACAAACTTAAGTTAAATGCTTTCTTTCACAGGCAAAAATGTGGTCCACCAGTTATCAGTAAGTTTAGAAGATATGTACAATGGTGCAACAAGGAAACTTGCGCTGCAGAAGAATGTTATCTGTGATAAATGCGAAGGTAACTGTGGGACATAAATTATAGTTCTTTCTCTCCAAAGATGCAGAATTAAGTTATGCGTTGCCAGAAGCACCAAGAAAATGCAGTTACCCATCTCCAATTCTCTCTTCAGGTCGTGGTGGTAAGAAGGGTGCAGTAGAATGCTGCCCAAACTGCAGAGGGACAGGCATGCAAATCAGAATTCACCAGATTGGGCCAGGCATGGTGCAGCAGATGCAGTCTGTGTGCATGGAGTGCCAGGGGCATGGAGAGCGCATCAGCCCTAAGGACCGCTGCAAGAGCTGCAATGGCAGGAAAATCGTTAGAGAGAAGAAGATTCTGGAAGTGCATATTGACAAAGGTGAGGTGTCTTGGTAAGATGCGAGGCTAATCTTGGTTTTACTGACCACTGCCTTTGCAGTTCTAAAGCACTAACAAATAGATAGCGTCCACTTGGTGAGTGGCAGTGTTGAAAACACACAGTGAAGTAGCCTGTTGCTGTCCTCAAAAGTAGACCTGTTTTTTAGGGAAGGTTTACTCTGTGTTAATTTTTTTGTGCAGATAGCCGAGAACAAATAGGCAAACATGCAGGATTGTAAGCAGTGGATTATTTTTACCTACTGCCATTCTGTAAGTGCAGGTTGTGATCAGGTAAATGTATTGGGAAAGCTGAGCCAACGAGTGATGAGTTTTCTGTGCACAGGGAAACTATGCAGACTCCGATCACTTCTACTGTGCTTCAGTGTGAAGGGGAACCAGGTCTGCTACATTAATTGGGTGCAAAGATGGTGCTAAGCCTGTAATGCTTAGAACTGTTTACAGTGCAACCCCTACAGTGCTGCTCAGCATAGTTGATCTTTGCCTAGCAAAATGTAATTCAATATGCGAACCCCTCACAGTGGTGGGAGAATGCAGTGTGTTTAGTGTGACAAATACTTTTTCCTTTGGGGATTTCCAGAAGTTGGATGGAGGAATCTTGGAAGGAATGCAGCTTTTAAGACAAACTACACTAGCAAGCGGATTTGCTTTGTACAGATTTGCTACTGATTATTTTCTGAAACTATTTTGTTTACATGTAAATCACACAGTACATAATGCCCGGGTTTGTTTTTAGTGGAGAAAGCATTAAATTTTTTAGAAGGAGATGACGTAGAAAAGCTGCTCTTCTTTTGCTCTTTCCATAGTTGAAAAAACTGAGTTAGCATGAGGCAGCTAGAATACGGTGGATACATACACTGGTTTCTGTGCAGGTGAAGTGGGTTTCTTACTTGACAGATAAAGTCCTAGGTAAAGTAATTCTTGGACTGTGTAGTTGCTGAAATCAAGTTTCATATGTCTCTGCCTCATATAGTTCTAAAACTTAAGGTTAAGTCATTGCTTCTCAGAATGAGTTTTGTGTGCAGTGTTCGTTTTCTTGTCATACTCAGATTGATGCCCTTGAAGATTTTTATCTTGACAAGTAGCAGTTCCGAGCTTTGGTTAAGCTTAATGGTTTTGAGCTGTATCCCAGTTTGGCAGCATTAACATCTGCTGGAATTGTGAGTTGATTTGAGGGAGAGGGAGCAAGGCTTCAGGGGAGGAAGTTCCTGATATCTTGAATTTCAAGATTCAGTTACCTTCTGATACTGTCTTATGCCTCTAAAAGTATTTCTTGCTGCTGCTTTTTGTTTTTTAAAAAAATGAAAGTTTTTTTTCTTCAATAGGAATGAAGGATGGTCAGAAAATAACATTCCATGGTGAAGGGGACCAAGAGCCAGGACTAGAACCAGGGGATATTATTATTGTCTTGGATCAAAAAGACCACTCTGTATTTACAAGGTAAGAATTTTGTAAGTCCTTTATGTTAAGTTTTGAGGTACTTGTTCACATGCTTCCATGGTTACAAAGGACTTTTTCGTGAGAAGATGAGTAGATAGGATCGTGTGGCTAGAAGTCAACCATGAGTACTGATGTGTGCAGAAATCCTGTTTTCAGTGAAAACAGTCTGTATTCTAACAGCACCAGGTATTTTTGAGTGAGCTTTGGCAGTGGAATATCTGAAAATTTCTTTGTTCTTTCTAGGATAGTTCACTCCCTTACATTAGAAGATCATGGTTTAGAGTAGGCAGCTGTTTATTGCCCACTTGACTCCAAGGCACAAAAATGAAGTGGCAGTATTTTCATTTTTCTTCAGGAATCCTGTCTGTAACAAGCTTCTTGAGTGTAGCATACACCTTTCTAACCAAAAGCAGTTTCCCCCACTTTTCCCACCTAAGTGATTTTATTTCTGCATGAACACAAAGTGTCTAAAAAGCATTGAACATGTCTGAAGTATTTTGTTAACCTATTAGTACTGTTTTGGTGTTGCAGATGTGTTTGTTTCAAGTTACAGTTTATGGAATGAGCCTGTCCAGTACCTTTAGACTTAAGCAGTGCTGGTCATCTTAAATAGACGTCTTGTGTTGGACTAGGTGTTTTACTGCTTCTGTTTAGAGCATTAAGGAAGGAGCCAGTGTATGTAGGAGGACATTTATCTCTTTAATATCCGCAGTTGGCATTGTACTTGTGGATAGGAATGATGAGTAAAGATTTGTAGGAAACCAACAGCTGGTCTGCATGACTGTCCTCTGTGGCGCTGGATGCTGTGCTCACAGGTTAAGAATCAGTTCTGTTCACTCTTGATATGATTAGCTAATTTTTCTTCTAGTGAAATCACGTGCTCAGTCAGTTATGCTAGAGGGACAGCTTGAACAAGCTGCCTGCATGGCTACCTGGATCTTGAATTTATAACTCTGCTTGCTTATTTTTGTCCATCTTCCTTCCCACTGCCTTCAGTGTCCTTAGGTAACCCTTGATATTAGTGGTCATCTAGTGTTGTGCTGAGGTCATGCTGCTTCTGGGACAACTGGAGTGTTCCTCTTCTCCCTTCACAGTCTAAAATTAACTTTTCAGGCAAGTCTCATTCCAGAGACCTTTAAAATAGGGTGAGTGAATAACTAAGTTCTTTTAATGGGCTTGAAGATTTCTTAGCCCTTAGACATGCAATGCTTGCAGACGTCACTTGCACTGCCTTCCTGAAGTCAAAATAGGAAACTAAAACAATTAAAATGTCCAGATATTTTGTGGTTTGTTCTTGATCCTTCACCAAACCCAGAGTGGGCACAACCTGCTTACGTTTCCCTAGTATCAGGTCTTCAGAAGTTGAGTACAAGAGAAAGGTGTAGAGCTGGATGATGCACCCAAGGATATTAATGTTAGTAGTTAACTGTCCCAGGTGTGGTTCTTATGCTGAGAGAGAAAATCTCTCCTAGAATTGAGTACAGCTGAGCCTTAGTGCATCTGTTTCTTTTTAATAAATGTGTGTGTTTTAAATAGTTAATAACAGCTCTCAGTATGGGTACTGTTCCTTGATGCTTCCTTGAGCTGTTGCTTTAATACTCAAGACTAATTGTCCAGACTTCTCTCTATTAAAATTATTTTCCTTAGTAAATTAGCTAATGACGGTGGGATTGATCCTTTCATTGTTTCCCCTTCTCTGTCACTGTTTTTGATTGGTTCTACCCTAGACGCGATGAAGACCTTCTTCTGTCTATGGACATACAACTGGTTGAAGCACTGTGTGGCTTTCAGAAGCCTATTGTGACTCTGGATAATAGGACTATTGTTATTACCTCCCATCCTGGTAAGTGCTTCCTTGCATTCTGCTAAAAGTCCAAGCATAGGTAAGCTGTAAACTTAAAAAGCAGAAGCAGTCCCTCTTCTTGTTGTACAAGGGGTGTACGTCAGTACCAGGCTTTTTCTTCCTAGTCTTTGCAGTACCAGCCTTGAAACAAGAAGCGATTTTTGGATAGCAGTCAGCAGTAGTGATCTCTTTATGTGATGTAGTAACTTCCTTCACGGACACTTGAAGGCCATAGATCTCTAAAAACTGCTTTTTCAGCCATGGAACTGATGGAGCACTTAGCATACTTGTAAGTGTGCTTCCTTGAGAAGCATAAGAAGGTTACGAGAGTGTGATGTGGATGTCCACTGGCTTTCCTTCTTGGATGTCAGCAGGCATGAAGTCCCTGTCAGACTGCTGCTATCAGTGTAGTTGTCTCTATACAGTGTAGAAAGCTGCATAAATACTGAAGGGAGTTGAAACTAGATCTCCTTCCTACCTATCCTATGTTCCTTCTTTGCTTTTTATTTTTAGGCCAGGTTGTCAAACATGGAGCTATTAAGTGTGTTTTAAATGAAGGCATGCCAATTTATCGCAGACCATATGAGAAAGGACGTCTCATCATAGAGTTCAGGGTAAGTGTGTCAACTTAATTCCAGAGCACACAGTTCAGCATCTGACTTCCATCCAGAAGCTTACTTACTCTCTGGAAACAAGCTGATGCTGGGAGCTGTGGAGGGAAGCTCTTTGTGCTAGAGGAGATTCAAATCTCTGATGTCAGATATTTCTTAAGCACTGGGCTTAAGTCAGCTGTGATGATAAAGCTGGCTTCAGCAGATAATTTGACCTATAATTTAATGGAAAAAGGTAAGTTCAGGTATACTCAATTCCATCTCTTGATGATTTCAGGTGAACTTCCCAGAGAGTGGCTTCCTTTCCTCAGATAAGCTGTTGTTACTTGAAAAACTGCTTCCTGCAAGACAGGAAATAGAAGAAACTGAGGAAATGGAGCAAGTGAACTTAGTGGACTTTGATCCATCTCAAAAAAGAAAACATATCTATAATGGGGAAGTCTATGAAGACGATGACCACCATCCTAGAGGTGGTGTTCAGTGTCAGACATCATAGAAGGGCCGTCAGTAACTTGTGATGCTTGTTTTGTATGTGTTAGTGGATGAGTGAAAGACTACAGGCAGTTCACTGTCACTTCTTGCTATTCGTTGTTATAACCAGCCATAGTTGTTTTATCTAAAAAGCATAAAGGAAAAAAATAAACTAATGAAACTGACTCTCCAACTTGTGTAAAGCTCCAGGACGCAAGCTCAAATTAAACTGAGCACACTTCACCTCTGCCTGATGATACAAGACAGCTCCCTCACCTGCTAGTCTTTTCTTTCAAGCCTTGTAATTCCTGTATGTGTGCAATTGCTGAGGCTTAGACTAAGCTGCTGTGGTGATCTTTTTGTGTATTCTAGGTCTTATACTCTAAAGTATGCACAAGTGCATATAAGTCATGGTAAGACATAGTTACTAAGCTGTGTACCAGTTAGGATAACATGTTAATGTTTGGGGCTTGCACTGGTGTTTGTCCAGTAGGGATTGGCTTAACACAGCCACATAATACATGAAGCTAATGGGGATGTGGTCAGTTTTTGTAAACCCATTAAAGTCACATGACCTATGAGTTCTCAAGTTTCTGCTCCTAAGGTCAAACAGGTTTTTTGCCAGCTCTGCTATGGCCTTGGAGCTAAATGTGAAACTTCGTTCAGGTCATTGCTGACTGCTTTTTTGCTGATGTTCTGCACAGTACTGGGTTTAGAGCCAGTGGTTGTTTGGCTACTGCAGGGGGGGTTTCTTTGCTACCATGCATGAGTGAAAAACTCCAGGCATTATCAGCACATGTGCTGTTTGGGGATAGCCTGCCAGCATGCGAAGCTTTACTTTGCCCTTAATTCTGAAATTAGATACCCTACAGTGGTATGTCATGGAGAGCACTACTCACCCTACTGGTGGGCACATGCAAGCCTGCAGGAGAAAGAAATTTATTGTCAGCATGTATCCCAACTGACACATCTAGGATGTTCTGAATCTAATGTATTGTGTGCATTATTTTAAGCTGACTGTTGAAAATTTCTGTATGAATGTTCTAATTATGTAGATGAAGTATTTCCAATATAATTACAAAATTGTTCATTGCCTCTTTTCTTAGAGCAGCTGTTGGTTTAAAGATGTAACACCCCTCATTTTAGGCAGCTATTCACAGAAAAATCCTAGTAAAAAAACTTCTTTCATAAAATATGCTGAGAGGACAGGTCCAGATGTAACCTCCAGCATGGTCGTCTCCTACCATCTGGTTCAGGATGCAGCTTACACTTTTCATACCATGCTGAAGAATTGTAGTGAACTGTTCTTCCTTCACAAAATGGCTGTTACAGGGCTGGTGTGTTTGTTGTATTATTGGAAGCAGCTCATGAAGAAGACTTACCTTTTGTTATAGTTGGTACATTATCATGTACCGATCAGTGTCAGTTCAGCAACCATCCTCGTTTAGTTTCTTCCCTTGCATCAGTCACCACCAAAACACCTAAGGACTGTCATGTCAGTGCAGTATCTTGAGCATGACAGTAGGCTGTCTTGCTTCACATGGCTGTGAACTGTATCAAAATATTGCACAAGTTCTTATTCTTGGAGAAGTGTAGATCAGCAGCACTGATGCAGTGGATGTAATGCTACTGATCTTGATTGATTTTCAAGATTGTGGTGGCCAATTTCTGCTCTGTGAGGACACCTCTGCTAGTGTAGAGAATGAGACTAGGTCTAGCTTCTGAGTGCTTCCATAAGCCTTGGCAGACCAGCCCAGGAAAAGGTCCTGCTGCTGCTGCAGGAAGGGCAGCAGAAGTACCACTGGTTAAAATACTTAATCTTGAAACCAGCTTTAGACTAGCAGAGGCCACATTCCCTCTCCACAAACACTTCTCATTTATAGGGTTGTGAGGAAGAATGGAACACCCCACTTCCTTCTACTACAGACAGACATCATGAAGGCAGACATCTGTTTCTGGCTGTCTGCCTCAAGGGAATGAAAGCTAGGAAATAATAGCAGGGTGAGCCCATTGGTCCCCTGCCACCAAAGAGCATATTTTACACAGACTGCATGAACACACGAGTGTTGGTGTGTCCCTCACTAAACACTTTTTGGCTATCTCCTTGGACTACCTGCTGCTGCAGGAACATTCCTGTCCTCAATTCTCAGCAGATCAGACTGAGGAAGGCGGAAGCCTGCTTGCCTAGAGCTCTGAGAGCCTCAGTCAGATCTGGCAGTAGCACAGTGACAAGACTACCTAAACTGATCTGCAACTGCAGGGCAATCACCAGCCTCTGCACCCCAGATAGGAGAGCCATGGTACAGGCCTCAGACATGCATTGTTCTCCTGGAACACTACTCATGATTATGGGACAGCAAGCAGTCACAGCATCTGACTACAAAGCCACAAACCAAAGGTGGTACAGAGGAGATCCAGCAGTCCTCAGCTCATTTTACTGAGTGAAACATAAGGTCATTCTGGTGGTAGGAAACAGAATCACAGAATTGCAAGGGTAGGAAGGGACCTCAAGGATCATGAATCTCCAACCCCCCTGCCACATGCAGGGCCACCAACCTTCCCACCTAATGCTAGACCAGAAACATACACTATGAAGAAAAATGAAGGTTCTATGGAGGCAAAGAAATACACTAGGTGCAAGGATTCTCCAAAAAACACTGCCAAGTGAAAGCAAGAACCAGCATGAAGGACCCAACCCTTAGAGTTTCACACATGATACTGAGTAAACAGTGAGGCTTCACATACAGAATCACACAGAATGACCAGGGTTGGAAGGGACCTCAAGGATCACGAATCTCCAACCCCCTGCCACATGCAGGGCCACCAACCTCCACATTAATACCAGCCCAGGCTGCCCAGAGCCCCATCCAACCTGGTCTTGAATGCCTTCAGGGATGGACGGGGCATCCACAGCCTCTCTGGGCAGCTGTTCCAGCACCTCACCACTCTCTCCATAAAGAACTTCCCCTTATCTGCCCTTTCCAAGAGTTGATTCCCCTCCTGTTTGTAGGTTCCCTTTAGGTACTGAAAGGCTGCCATGAGGTCACCCCGCAGCCTTCTCTTCTCCAGGCTGAACAAGCCCAGCTCCCTCAGCCTGTCCTCATAGGGGAGGTGCTCCAGTCCCCTGGTCATCTTTGTGGCTCTCCTCTGGACCCTCTCCAACAGCTCCCTGTCTATTTTGTACTGGCTTCTTCCAGTAAGCACAATATATTTATAGCAAGCAGCAAAACACTGTCAAAAAAATGAAACAGGACAATTTTTTTCTGTCTACTTCCATTTATGTAGGATAGACAACTGAGAAAACTGACGACAGAGCAGCACAGAATAGCTGCTTCCATGACTACCTGCAGTTATACAGCTTCTGAACAACTGAGTTGACATTTACAATCATCTTGGCAGTGTTTAAGATTTGAGAACACCAAATTCAAGTTTATAGTCAAGTTTATAGTCCATTACGGTGATTCTTTCCACTGTGCATCAGGCAGGTAGAGGACTGAGTTTTTTCGCCAGGAATCTAGCGTACCTCCACTCTTACAACCTTATTCTGTTAAACTGAGAATTGCCCCTGAAGCATTTTTTAGCAATCTGCAATTATTCTTGTTCCTGCCTGTTTAACTTCATAAAGGAGAGACCGTAACTGTCCTCTCTTCCGCATGTTTTGTCTACCTGCTGTCCAGCAGCACTGTAGGAAATTTGCTCAGCTCACAGGTAAACCACATGATCCCAGCGTGCCCAAGGATAAGCAAGGAACTTGCCCTGTATGTTTTTCATAGGCAGCTTCACCAGGGAAGGCATTTTGCTACTGGCTGGCACTCCAAGTATTAGTTAGGCACAGTGCAGGAATGATGTAAGCACACAGAATCACAGAATGGCCAGGATTGGAAGGGACCTCGAGGATCATGAATCCCCAACCCCCCTGCCACATGCAGGGCCACCAACCTCCACATTAATAACCAGCCCAGGCTGCCCAGGGCCCCATCCAACCTGGCCTTGAACACCTCCAGGGATGGACATGTCCATCCACAACCTCTCTGGGCAGCCATTCCAGCACCTCATCACTCTCTCTGTAAAGAACTTCTCCCTGATATCCAACTGAAATCTTCCCTCCCTCATCTTCAAACCATTCCCCTTTTTCCTGCTGTTATCTACCCTTTCAAAGAGTTCCGCTTTTCCAAAACCAAAAGGAAATGCCTGGTTCCATATTTTCTTAAGAGAGAGGTACTATAGTTCTCAAATAGAGGATACCACTGCAAAGCATAATAAAATTAGGAGGTTCCTGAATTGGACATTAAGAAGACTGACTACCGAATGCCACCCTTCACTTCAGTCTTTACTAGCAATGCCTACCTTCAGGAATGCCCAGCCCAGGTCCTGGAGATCAGGAGTGACTATGCATAGCAAAGGCAGACAAACCCTCAGTAGAAGAGGATAAATTTGCAAAGATTTGAGTAAACTTAATTATGTGAGTATGTAAATGTTATGTGTACATACGTCCCCGTGCTCTGATGAGATGCATGCACAACTGAAGGAGTTGCCAGCTGTGACTGCAAGGCCATACAGTCACGTTTCACTGATCATGACAAATGGGAGAAATCCCCAGAGACTGGAAGAAAGCAGTCCTGTCTTCAAGCAGGGCAAAAAGAGGACCCATGATGCTACTAACCAGCCAGGCTTACCTTGATTCACAAGAAGGTGATCATAGAATCACAGAACTATGAATTTGAGTTGAAAGGGAACTGAAAGCCCATCCAGTTCCAATGCCCCTGCCACAGGCTGGTTGCCACCCACTAGGTCATGTTGCCCAGCATGGAGGCAACCAGAGCTTTTGTGGGCAGCCTGTTCCAGGCAAATTACTATGCTGTCTTCACTTCAACCACATACATCTCCTTGTATCTGGCTCCACAGGGAGCTGAAGCATGCCAACTATGCCTTTTCTAGTTGTGAAACCCAGTATACAGCCATTCTTCTTGTGGTTCACCTGAGCCTACACTATTCCCCCTGGACATTCAAATCTGAGTTCTCTTGCCCTGTCTTTTATAGCTGCCATGATTCAGGTCACAGGGTCTATTTACAACTATCCAGTTAACAGTTCCATCAACAGGAACTGGAGCTGAATTAATTGTGCTTAAAAAGGACTCCTTAAATTATACAGACAGTAGGCAAAGAAGAAAACGCAGTACCCCATCACTGATTTTTACCATCATCTTTCCTTTAAGTTTCTGCAAAGTGGTTTTTTTTTTTTTGTCTCCCCTTATCTCAGACTGAACACAGTTGTTATCAAGCTGCTCAGAATCACAGTCAGGCCAGCTCACCCAAGTTCATTGTTCAGAATCCTCTGATTCACAGAGGCCAGCAGCCACCTCTGAAGATTATTTGGTTCCTCTAAATTAAGAATTTAGCTGCTGCTTAAGTCATTCATAAAGGATATTTTTCTTCTGAGAAAGTTTTTTTACAGAAGTGAACAACTTTTCAGTTCTCAGCTAAGCTATGCCTTACTAAAAAGTCAGGGATGGACTGATTATTCTCTGCAGCAGGCAAGCAGGCAGTGGCACCAACACAGGATTGTACCTGGTAGATAAGTACAGATTCATATGTCACTTAGACAAACCCAATCACATTAGAGAAAAGTTACATCCACACTTGCAGAACTCTGAAGGAACCCAAGCTTGCTTATTCTTTGCTGAGACACAGCAGCTCTTCCCCATATATTCTGTAAGTACGTGTGGACAGGCAGCTTTTTCCACCCAGGCAAGGCTGAAATTCCTTATCTCCACTTCAGGAAGATTGAACCACTATGATTTAGCAATTCTGAATTGACCTATGAAACTTAATTTGATAGTACCCCGAGTGCCAAAAACACTGCACTCACCTATGTATCACAGAACTACCTAATTCTAAATAAAATAACTCAAGAACAAAAGTAAGGTCCATGGGTGAAGAACGAACAATGCTTTCTTTAATGCTAATGAAAGCATTCAAGATTGTCTTGCTGAAATCTTATATTCAGATAAAAACCACGTAACACCTGCCTAATTCTCCAGAGATAAAATCTCTTCCAAGATTACACTAAAAAACAATTAGGAGTATTTTCAAG